GGAAAGAAGAGGTAAAATTATCTCTACTTGCAGATGACATCATTGGATACATAGAAGACTCAAAGGTAACCATGAAAAAATTCCTGGAAGTTATAAATAAATATAGTAAAGTGGCAGTTTATAAAATCGACATACAAAAATCTATAACATTTCTATATACAAACAACAAGCAGACTGAAGAGTAATCCCATTTACCATAACCACAAAGGTATAACATACCTTATACTTAGGAATAAATCTAACCAAAGAAGTCAAGGACCTCTACAAGAAAAACAATGAAAATCTAGAAAAAGAAATTCAAAACGACACAAAAAAGTGAAGGACCTCCCATGTTCCTGGATTGGAAGAATTAATATAATGAAAATGGCAATTCTACCCAAATTAATCTGCATATTTAATGCAATCCCAATCAAACTACCAAAGATATTCTTTCCAGATCTAGAAGAGACAATCATAGAAATTGTCTAGAATCATAAAAGTCCCCTATTGCCAAAACAATCCTGTGCAAAAAGAGTGGAGTAGGTGGCATCTTACCCACTCATCCCAAAATATATTACAAAGCTGTGATAATCAAAACAGCATGATATCGGCACCAAAACAAACATGTAGACCAATGGAACAGAATAGAGACTTGAAATAAACCCCAAAACATACAGCCAACTGACTTTTGACAAAGGGCACCAGTCAATCAAGTGGGAAAAAAGAAAACCTCTTTAGCAAATGGTGCTGGAAAAATTGGGTATCCAATCTGGATTCCTATCTCTCACCATTAACAAAAATCAACACAAAATGGATCAAAGATCTAAGCCTAAGACCTCAAGTGATAAAATACTGGTGGGTAAGGCAGAGGAAATTCTGGGAGACATCAGAGTAGGCAAAGACTTCTTAAAGAATATTCTCCTTGAGCAGAAAATATCAAGTAAGTAGCTAAACTATCATAGATTAAAAAACAGAGTAGTGAGGGTCAGCAGGTGGCATAGTGGTTCTGGACACCCACAAAGCCATGATTCCAGTCCCAGATGCAGTGGCTGAAACTCACACTGGGCGCACATGCATGTGTGCCCAAAATCTCGAGAGGAAAATGGAGGATAAGGGATTGCAACGTAGTCATCTTCCCTGGGAGGTGATTTCTCACTCTCTCTGTGTGTATTTATCTGGCCATCGCATATCCCCTATAGGACATATCTCAAAAAAAAAAAGGAAACAGGATGGTTGCGAACAGAGGAAGTTAAATTATTTAAGTAATTTATTCTACATGCTCAGTTGTATGAAGGACTAAAAATCTGGAGTGAAAAATCGGGAAATCAGGGTATTTCTGCTGCAATCAGGGGAATGTTTTACCTTGACTCTAGTTTCAAGTACAATTCTACTAGAAATTCACCTCCTCAAGGCCATTCCCCAATAGCCCGCAACCAAATATATTCTTTTGCCATCTTTATATATTTGGATATGTGTTTATATCTGTCTTTATACAACTGTTCTTTAAACTAAAGGGTACAGATTAGCAGAAAATATGTCTTTTATCCCATCATAAATCCACTATGTTGTATAATGTTTAGTCAATAAATACTCGTGAATGAATGAATAAATGAACCAGTGTGCACATTGTTTAAGTAAATAGATTCCCTGCAGAAGAGATTCAACTATTCAAGAGTTTAAAAGTGGGGAAAATAGTTCACTATTGTTTGAAAGGAAGAAACAATTTTCAAAGGCTTCTTTAACTACTGTTCATGGTTCAGGAGAAGAGAGCTGAAAAAGTCAGAGTTGTCTCAGTGTCCCCCACACCCAACATTTTGATGGTAATTCATTCATTTACCAGACATTTTTAACAATTATTGATGTATTGTTAAAGTCAATACCGGTAATAAAAGCTCTAGCTCTTAACCTATAATAAGTTAATTTCGATTACAAGATATGTATGACAAATGTTCAAAAACTTGCTATACTATTAGCATGACAATATCACAATTTAAAATACATAAAAGGCAGCATTGTATATGATAAAGCTTACTTTGGAAAAGTCATCAATGGCAAGAATTCTGTTGTCTATATCATACATCTGACCCCTCCTGAAATAGGTATCAGCGTCCGTAGGCTTGCATTTAATGGCCTGGGTATAGTTTAGTATTGCCAAAGTGATGTCTTTTTTTTCCCTGAAAATTTCTGCCTTTGACAAATATACCTCTAAAGAAGATTAAAAAAATAAGATTTAGTATTACAATCTTTTCATTAACTATTAACACTTTGAAAGATCAATTCCTTTCCCTCCAAAAATATCTTAAAATAATTTTTCTCTATTATACTTTCTTAACCACTTCACTTAAATTTTAAATTTATTTTTAAGAGACTTTTGCTATAGGGCACATGTGCTCTCTGGAGAGACAGAGAGAGACAGTAGCAAGAACTCAACCCCCAGGGTTGGTATGGCCACACAGCAGTCCCTTCTCCATTCTCCTCTCAGATTTTGGACACACACGCACATGCACCCAGCGTGAGTTTCAAGCCACCAGATCTGGGATTCAAACCATGGTTGGCCAAATGGGAGTCTAGCACCTTAACCACTATGCAGCCTGCTTTCCCCAATTTTTTTTTTTAATTCAACAATGCCAGTTTAATTCTCAAAGCCTAGATGATTATTCATTGGCGATTAGAAGTACTTTCAATTTAAAATGACACAAATTTCCTTTAATCTTTTGGTATGTCTAAAATGTTTCATAATTATTTAATGATCATAGTAAAAACTTAGGTTTTGATGGCACAAGTTTTAAAGACTTTTAGTAGACAAAGATCAACACAGATAAAAAAATGTATTAACGTATATTCTATGGGTTCATTGTGGGTGCTGGAGGTACAAAGATGAGTGTTACATTTTCACATTCCTAGAAACTTTCATGTCTCAGGGCTCAAGTTGTTAGAGGGTGGTACATAAAGGACAGAGGTATACACTTTATCCATTCAAGAAGTCCTAGGAATACTACAACTCTAATTCAGAGATTAGTGATTGAGAAAAGACTTTTAAGTCACTTCTATAACTCAAATTTTAACATCACATTCTTCTTATAAGATGAGCCTCGAGAAACCAATTTACTATAATGGATATCAAGAATATTCATATTTGGGACCAGCAGTTAGTGTAATGGCTATGTCGCTGGACTCCCATGTAGTCGACCGCAGTTCGCGTCCCAGACCCGGTGGCTTAAAACTCACACTGGGCGCGTGTGCGTGCATGCCCAAGATCCCAAGAGGAGAATGGAGGAGAAGGGATTGCCGTGTGGCCATCCCTCCGGGGGGGGATTTCTCACTTTCTGTCTCTCTGTCTCTGGCTGTCAGGCGAGCGCACGCGCCCTATAGCAAAACCCTCTCCCCCCCCAAAAAAAAAGAATATTCATATTTTAAGCTATCAGTATTTTAAAAATAATATAGACTTGTATGAACCTTGAATTGATAATATCAAGAATAAAAGCTTTAACTGAGGAAAGTCACGCCCACTTTTTAAGACTTCTATTGATTACATATCCTTATACTACCAATAAACAACAAAAGCTAAGGTGAAAATATAGATAATATAACTGTCCATAGACAATCTACCTGCATTATTTTTATTATATTTATTTATGTAATTCAAGTCATCCAAAGCTTCATTAACTTTGTCTTGGAAAAGATAAAGAAAATGGCGGTGCCAATAGGCATTGAGAAACAGTGGCTCCAAGCGTATAGCCTATAATATACATATATAAGTTCTGTTAATTTGGTAAAGGAAGATATCCATAAAAGAAATTTTTCAAACACTATTGATCCCAGTGGGTTTGTGGGTGTACTTTATAAAATAAAACCTACCGAGTATATGTATATTATAAAATAAAACCTCCTAAACTAACAAACAAAAATCTAGCGTTTTCAGGGGAGGGTGACAGAGAGAGAATTAAGGGAAAAGAGAAGCAAAACATTTAAGGGACACAAACATGGAAATTATCTGTTGATGATAAAGGGTATGATAATGTCTTTGGACTAATACGCAGTGTATTCAAGATGAAAAATACATTTGGCATGCTGTGGTGATATACATGGATTGAATATATTAAAACTAACAAGAATAAAAGAATTTCAAGGCACAAGTGCTATTTTTAAAAAATATAGTGTTTTTTTTCATAATAATTATTTGAAATACTAACAATTATCCCTTCACGATCCCACATACTAATGATACTACAAACATTTATTGTTCAGAGTTCTAGTAAGAATGACTATATAATTAATAGTGAGTATAAATGATGAATATTGTTATTTTGATGAAATAAAACTTACTTCTTGTAGGTCATTCATGGCACTCTGTAACTTTCCCAGTTTCCTATAAATAGCTCCACGTCTACAATATGCAAAAGCAGGATATTTTTTCTTATTATTTATTTCTTCAGTCAAGATATTCACTTCTGATTCATAATGTGTAAGAAGGTCTAATGGAAGATCAGACTGCAAAGAATCACTTAATTCTAGTTTTGGCAGTACTTCCACTCTTTCAGGCTCGTCTGCATAAGAAACAGCTATTTTAACAACTTTTTCTCTTGCAGGTACCTTCTCAGGTTTATACTTATTGAATGTATCAAGAACCCATGTCCGAGGCTCACTGTTTTCTGGAATTCCTCCTTTACTTTGGGTAAATCTTTCAAAATCTAAATGTAAAGGTAGGCTGGGACACCGTATTATACGTTCATATAACGGAACTTTGAGCAAGTATTTCTTCTGTTGAGGAAGTATCCCATGAGATGTTGATCTAGTTTTTTAAAAGAATAATTGTTTAATTACAGAAATATAATTATATCTCTAATCAATAAATCTCAACCACACACAAAATTACTAGTCTGTTATCAAAATAAAAATCACATGCTAATTTTATACAAGTCAAGTTTTTCTTTTATTCTGCCAAATGGGAGTCTAGCACCTTAACCACTATGCAGCCTGCTTTCCCCAATTTTTTTTTTTAATTCAACAATGCCAGTTTAATTCTCAAAGCCTAGATGATTATTCATTGGCGATTAGAAGTACTTTCAATTTAAAATGACACAAATTTCCTTTAATCTTTTGGTATGTCTAAAATGTTTCATAATTATTTAATGATCATAGTAAAAACTTAGGTTTTGATGGCACAAGTTTTAAAGACTTTTAGTAGACAAAGATCAACACAGATAAAAAAATGTATTAACGTATATTCTATGGGTTCATTGTGGGTGCTGGAGGTACAAAGATGAGTGTTACATTTTCACATTCCTAGAAACTTTCATGTCTCAGGGCTCAAGTTGTTAGAGGGTGGTACATAAAGGACAGAGGTATACACTTTATCCATTCAAGAAGTCCTAGGAATACTACAACTCTAATTCAGAGATTAGTGATTGAGAAAAGACTTTTAAGTCACTTCTATAACTCAAATTTTAACATCACATTCTTCTTATAAGATGAGCCTCGAGAAACCAATTTACTATAATGGATATCAAGAATATTCATATTTGGGACCAGCAGTTAGTGTAATGGCTATGTCGCTGGACTCCCATGTAGTCGACCGCAGTTCGCGTCCCAGACCCGGTGGCTTAAAACTCACACTGGGCGCGTGTGCGTGCATGCCCAAGATCCCAAGAGGAGAATGGAGGAGAAGGGATTGCCGTGTGGCCATCCCTCCGGGGGGTGATTTCTCACTTTCTGTCTCTCTGTCTCTCTCTGTCAGGCGAGCGCACGCGCCCTATAGCAAAAACCTCTCCCCCCCCAAAAAAAAAGAATATTCATATTTTAAGCTATCAGTATTTTAAAAATAATATAGACTTGTATGAACCTTGAATTGATAATATCAAGAATAAAAGCTTTAACTGAGGAAAGTCACGCCCACTTTTTAAGACTTCTATTGATTTACATATCCTTATACTACCAATAAACAACAAAAGCTAAGGTGAAAATATAGATAATATAACTGTCCATAGACAATCTACCTGCATTATTTTTATTATATTTATTTATGTAATTCAAGTCATCCAAAGCTTCATTAACTTTGTCTTGGAAAAGATAAAGAAAATGGCGGTGCCAATAGGCATTGAGAAACAGTGGCTCCAAGCGTATAGCCTAGAAAATACATATATAAGTTCTGTTAATTTGGTAAAGGAAGATATCCATAAAAGAAATTTTTCAAACACTATTGATCCCAGTGGGTTTGTGGGTGTACTTTATAAAATAAAACCTACCGAGTATATGTATATTATAAAATAAAACCTCCTAAACTAACAAACAAAAATCTAGCGTTTTCAGGGGAGGGTGACAGAGAGAGAATTAAGGGAAAAGAGAAGCAAAACATTTAAGGGACACAAACATGGAAATTATCTGTTGATGATAAAGGGTATGATAATGTCTTTGGACTAATACGCAGTGTATTCAAGATGAAAAATACATTTGGCATGCTGTGGTGATATACATGGATTGAATATATTAAAACTAACAAGAATAAAAGAATTTCAAGGCACAAGTGCTATTTTTAAAAAATATAGTGTTTTTTTTCATAATAATTATTTGAAATACTAACAATTATCCCTTCACGATCCCACATACTAATGATACTACAAACATTTATTGTTCAGAGTTCTAGTAAGAATGACTATATAATTAATAGTGAGTATAAATGATGAATATTGTTATTTTGATGAAATAAAACTTACTTCTTGTAGGTCATTCATGGCACTCTGTAACTTTCCCAGTTTCCTATAAATAGCTCCACGTCTACAATATGCAAAAGCAGGATATTTTTTCTTATTATTTATTTCTTCAGTCAAGATATTCACTTCTGATTCATAATGTGTAAGAAGGTCTAATGGAAGATCAGACTGCAAAGAATCACTTAATTCTAGTTTTGGCAGTACTTCCACTCTTTCAGGCTCGTCTGCATAAGAAACAGCTATTTTAACAACTTTTTCTCTTGCAGGTACCTTCTCAGGTTTATACTTATTGAATGTATCAAGAACCCATGTCCGAGGCTCACTGTTTTCTGGAATTCCTCCTTTACTTTGGGTAAATCTTTCAAAATCTAAATGTAAAGGTAGGCTGGGACACCGTATTATACGTTCATATAACGGAACTTTGAGCAAGTATTTCTTCTGTTGAGGAAGTATCCCATGAGATGTTGATCTAGTTTTTTAAAAGAATAATTGTTTAATTACAGAAATATAATTATATCTCTAATCAATAAATCTCAACCACACACAAAATTACTAGTCTGTTATCAAAATAAAAATCACATGCTAATTTTATACAAGTCAAGTTTTTCTTTTATTCTCTAAAATTGTAACACTGTGAAGACTGTCGAGTTTTATGAGAGCAAAAGGCTCTTTTTAGAGATGTAACTTTCCTAAAGAGTGAAATAATAGGGTCAATTTTCTTTTCAGTTTAATTTATACCCTCACCCAGAGGAATTAAACTGAAGAATTAAGGAAGTAAACATGATGTGAAAAGGAAATGCCATCAAGAGACCAGCAGTTAGCGTAATGGCTATGCTGGACTCCCATGTGGTCGACTACGGTTCGAGTCCCCGGACCCGGTGGCTGAACTCACACCGTGCGCATGTGCATGCGTGCCCAAGATCCCAAGAGGAGAATGGAGGAGAAGGGAATGCAGTATGGCCATCCCCCTGGGGGGTGATTTCTCGCTTTCTGTCTCTGTCTCTCTCTCTGTCTTTCTGGCGAGCGCACACGCCCTATAGCAAAAACCTCTCCAAAAAAAAGAAAAAAAAAAAAAAGGAAATGCCATCAAGAAACTGAAAAAAGAAAGAGTTGACTATGAAGCAGACTACAAATAAACATCCCAGACTTTACCCTTCTCTAGGAGTTTAACGAATTAGATAATATTGAATATGCTCTTCAGTGCTGCAAGTATAGAATAATCCTTCTCAAATTCTCCATTTGCTACCTAGCTTGCATTTAGTAACAATTTACTGTTTGAATGGTACTGTACTAGCCACAGGAGAAAGAATAAGATCATTCAATCGGGGGTCAGCATGTGGCATGGTTGTTAAGGTGCCAAACTTCCACATGGCCAAAAGTGGTTCAAGTCTGGACCTGAGGGCTTGCTTTCTCATTCTCTCTCTCTCTCTCTCTCTCTCTCTCTCTCTCTCTCTGGAGCACACATGCCCTACAGCAAATTTTAAAATGATAAATAATTATTTTTCCTCTTTTGGCAAGAAGTTTTTGCTATAGGGCATGTGCGCTTTTCAGAGAGAAAACGAAAAAGAAAAAAAAAAAAAAAAAGACAGAAATCACCCCCTAGTGGGGATGGCAATGCCACAATCCCTTCTCCTCCATTCTCCTCTCAAGATTTTGAGCACGCACGCACATGTGCCCAGCGTGAGTTTTAAGCCACCAGGTCTGGGACTTGAACCGTGGTCAACTACATGGGAGTTCAGGAATATAATCATTATGCAATTTGCTGATCCCAATAGTTTTAATAATTCTTAAAAAGAATCATTCTATAGGAAGAAAAAAATTAACCCCATCATTTTATAAACATTTAGTGTGTGTGCTATGAGAAAGACCTAGTGCTAAACACTAAGAGAATAAAAGTAAGAAAATTCTATTTCATTATTTCATTACTTTCTTACAGTCTCTAGTCTCCTTCACATTCTAGTACAGCTCTCATCATCATTCTGCCTAGAATACAATAACTTCTTAAATCCTTTTTGTTTGTTCTTTTTTGTCTGTTTATTTTGCTATAGGGCTTATGCATTTGCTGGAGAGAGACAGAAAGAGAGGGAAAGTGAGAAAACACTCCCCAGAGAGGACTACCATGCTGCAGTTCCTTCTCCATTCTACTCTTGGGACTTCAGTCATGCACGTACATGTGCCCAGTGTGTATTTCAAGCCACAGGATCCAGGACTCGAACCATGGTTGAGTTGGTGATGTGGGATCCAACTGCCTTAACCACCACACCACCAGCTGACACTTAATTCCCTATTTCTACTCTTGCTCTTTGTCTAAACCGTTCTCCACAGGGCAGTCAACATGGTATATTTATAAATGTAAATCAGAGCACTTCACTCCCTCCAAGAGTCTTCCCCAGTACCTAGAACGCCAATCAAGCTTTTTACTGTACATACAAGGCCCCAGCAGACCTCACTGGCTGCTTCCTTCTCCATTCATGCTTCTGATCCAATGTCACCTTAAGAAGACCTTCTGTGCCAGATATGTTTTATGTACACTTTCACATTGACCTCTTTTCTTCCTCCTCTACTCTTACTTAGCCCTGGGAGACTAATCAATACAGACCTTTCTCATTCTCTCTCTCTCTCTCTCTCTCTCTCTCTCTCTCTCTCTGGAGCACACATGCCCTACAGCAAATTTTAAAATGATAAATAATTATTTTTCCTCTTTTGGCAAGAAGTTTTTGCTATAGGGCATGTGCGCTTTTCAGAGAGAAAACGAAAAAGAAAAAAAAAAAAAAAAAGACAGAAATCACCCCCTAGTGGGGATGGCAATGCCACAATCCCTTCTCCTCCATTCTCCTCTCAAGATTTTGAGCACGCACGCACATGTGCCCAGCGTGAGTTTTAAGCCACCAGGTCTGGGACTTGAACCGTGGTCAACTACATGGGAGTTCAGGAATATAATCATTATGCAATTTGCTGATCCCAATAGTTTTAATAATTCTTAAAAAGAATCATTCTATAGGAAGAAAAAAATTAACCCCATCATTTTATAAACATTTAGTGTGTGTGCTATGAGAAAGACCTAGTGCTAAACACTAAGAGAATAAAAGTAAGAAAATTCTATTTCATTATTTCATTACTTTCTTACAGTCTCTAGTCTCCTTCACATTCTAGTACAGCTCTCATCATCATTCTGCCTAGAATACAATAACTTCTTAAATCCTTTTTGTTTGTTCTTTTTTGTCTGTTTATTTTGCTATAGGGCTTATGCATTTGCTGGAGAGAGACAGAAAGAGAGGGAAAGTGAGAAAACACTCCCCAGAGAGGACTACCATGCTGCAGTTCCTTCTCCATTCTACTCTTGGGACTTCAGTCATGCACGTACATGTGCCCAGTGTGTATTTCAAGCCACAGGATCCAGGACTCGAACCATGGTTGAGTTGGTGATGTGGGATCCAACTGCCTTAACCACCACACCACCAGCTGACACTTAATTCCCTATTTCTACTCTTGCTCTTTGTCTAAACCGTTCTCCACAGGGCAGTCAACATGGTATATTTATAAATGTAAATCAGAGCACTTCACTCCCTCCAAGAGTCTTCCCCAGTACCTAGAACGCCAATCAAGCTTTTTACTGTACATACAAGGCCCCAGCAGACCTCACTGGCTGCTTCCTTCTCCATTCATGCTTCTGATCCAATGTCACCTTAAGAAGACCTTCTGTGCCAGATATGTTTTATGTACACTTTCACATTGACCTCTTTTCTTCCTCCTCTACTCTTACTTAGCCCTGGGAGACTAATCAATACAGACAGTATCGATAAAATTAAGACCAAAGCCACATTTCCTAAAGTATAAAAAAAATGTTGCTTAAACCAGACCTTTTAAGAGGTTTTGGAGGCTTTGCTAGCTCTTCCCACACCATAGAAAGTTTTCTAAATTTCAGTGCTTTCTTTGATTTCCTCTTCCTTCTCTTAGGATAAACAATGTAAGTAATGCCAGCTTTTCTAGATGCTTCAATGAGAGAGAGTGAAAGATCTCTGATACATTCTTTGTCCTGAATGTCATCCAAGATGACATCTATACTTTCTTTCACAGAGAAGGGTTCTTCAGATCTGTTTTGCTTAGTGAGCTGAAGCTCCAAGTGCTTCGCCTTCTGGATCATCACCTCTTTTCTACTGCTTTGCATGTCATCCTTGATTTCTAAGGGAGCTTCCTCAGCCTCCTTCTTCCTCAACTCAACTGCAGATTGTACTTTCTTAATAAGGAATCAAAGAGGTAGAAAATGTAAAATTAATTTTATTGCTATACACTTAAAATTAATTCAGTTATAGTTACTGTTCATGTAGTCACTTTATTGAAAAAATGTAAAAATATACATTTTTAAGATTATTTAAAAGTCAGCTCTTTAGTTCATAGTGAATTAGTTAAAGCAAAATACAACAATTTAGCTGGATATAAGGCAGTTTGTTAGATACATGTAAACAACATTATGAAGTAAATCTGCATTAATTATGATTTTATATGTGTATGATTGAAAGAGAATTCTCCTGTACACCCAAGAAAGTATGTGCTCTACTTTTACTTCTAATACAAGCATAATTAGCAAAGTAGACAAAAATGATCAAAATGCCTTATCCTGTAATACTAACTTGCACATCTATTTTCAAAAGCACTTTAACAGCATTGACTTTCTCCACAATATTATTCAAATATTCCATGTAATAACTGTCAATTCAATATTGATAAGCTTTAAGTAATACAACTTCATGTTTTGGGGAACCAGAAGATGGCCAGTGGTTACATTGCTGAACTCCATGTGGCCATCTGTGTTTCAAGTCTGCCAGGTGAGTGTGCGTGCGTGCCCAAAATCCGAAGAGGAGAATGGAGGAGAAGGAATTGCGGCAAGGCCATCCCCTTTGGGGGTGATTTCTCACTTTCTGTCTGTCTTCTGCAGAGTGCAAGTGCCCTATAGCAAAAATCTCTCACCAAAAAAAAAAAACCTCAGGTATTCATTTTATCTAACCATTAGAGAATCAACTTAATTTTTAATGTTATAACATTAGTAATTATAAATAAATTGAAATAATTATGCACTAATACTTGAAATTCTAGTAATATTCTTACTAACAAAAGATAAATTATTTCTAATCCTTTGATATAGCATTTCCTGAATACTGAGCCATTGTCAATAAATTAACTGCATTTCATTTTGCTAATAAATAATAATTCATTATAGAGATGCTTCTGTTTATAATGAATCTAAGCCCAAATTCCAAACATAATAATTGCATGCAAGTACTTTAAAGATGCACTAAACTACGGGGGCCAGCAGGTAGTGTGATGGTTAAGGTATGGGACTCTCACATAGCTGACTGTGGTTTGAGTCCTGGACCAGAAGGCTTTCTCTCTCTCTCTCTCTCTCTCTCTCTCTCTCTCTCTCTCTCTCTCCCTGTTTGTCTTTGATGAGTCCATGTGCTCTATGGCAATTTTTTTAAATGATAATAATTAATACAATTACATGAAATAATCTTTAAAAAAGAGACATGTACAAAAGTATAATAAAGTATTTAACCTTCCATGACTTACTATATAGTCCCCTGACTCAAGAAGCTATATATACCTCAATATCTAATTAGAAATGAAATTATAATATAGAATATATGTTTATGCTTTTGAATAAAACATAAGATGATTATAATTGTCAGAAACATGAACTTTTTCTCTTGGATAATAAACACTCAAAAACTGTAATACCTTTAATTGTAGAGATTGTGCAAGGAAACACTTTTGGATATTTTCAAATGATGCAGATTTTCTTAGTATGAAAGACTGAAATAAAATGAGAAATATACATTAACCATAGAGACAATTTGGTAAACTAAAATGACAGTTAATAATGATTATTAAGGTAAATTCTTGTGATTTTGAAGTCACGAACTTTACAGAAAGTAGCAGAACTTAAATTCCATCAGTTAATTTAGAAAAGTGTATAATAGTGAAAACTATCTGATTTTTTTAAATTTCACAAGCACCAAGTAACTGCTATGTGACAAATACTATGGTTCATATCTCCCCAGCTAGTATAAGCAGCACAAGTATGTGTGAATATGCCACCCACACACTGAGTCATGAATCCCCTTAACCCTGGGGCTGCACTAGCAGGACCTGGGGCAGCTACAGAGCAATGGATGGTGCCCCTTAATCATGAACAATCTCACCCTTTTACTGTAGGGGATTATGCAAATATTACCAGTCTGGGTGTTATTATACACCAAGTGTTGGAAAGCATTATAGTACAGTGCAATGTACAAGGAAAATGACATGTTCCGTACCCTCAAACATCATACTAGAACAGACAGCACTACACAAGTATCTTTTCTCCAAAGTGACTGTGGCAATGACTATAAAGATGGCATGAATCCATTGCTAAAAGAATGCAGGAGCAGGAGAGGTTAATTCTGAAAGGGGAAGAATCTGGACAGACTAACTTCAAGAGCAGCATAACATCAGGCCTGGTGTGTGAGAAGTAGAAGGGTTTCCAGCCTGAGAAGTAGCTGAGCATACCCCAGGCCAACAGTCTCAATAAGCTCAGAGAAGTGACAAAGTACGAGCAATTTTAGTTCATAGGAATCTGGCATAGGCACCGGACAGGATACATGGAAGTATAACTACAATGGAAAATGAAGTAGAAAATATATTTAAGGCCAGTTTATGAGGCTTAGTTAAGCATTCTGATTTTATTTGGTAGGTGGAATAATTGTGTCAAGACATGAGTGATATAATAAAATCTGTTTTTTCATTGTTGTCATTTTAGGCTTCTGTCAGAGGGCACATGTACTCGCCCGAGAAAGAGTGAGACAGTGAGAGGGAAAGTGAGAAATCACTCCCCACCCAAGAAAGAAGGCTGTGCCTTAATCCCTTCTTCTTCATTTTCCTTTTGGGATTTTGTGCATGCATGCACATGCACCAGCATGATTTTCAAACCACCAGGTCCAGGACTCAAACCATGGTCAGCCATGTGGGAGTCCAGCGCCTTAACAACCATGCCACCTGCTGACTCCATCAAACCTGTATCTTAAGAATATGTTTAGCAGCATTGATTGGAAAAGGCAGCTACTAAAAATGGGAATGTCTCATAAGTAGGTGTAAGTAATATTACCACAATAGAGTAGAAAGTACACTGGCATTTAAACCAGAAAAGTGCCATTCCTTGATTCAGTTACTTTTGAGTAATAGTCACTTCTCTTTTTGTGGTGGATAAAATAATAAATAAAAATGATATGTAACTAGCCTGTGGTGGTCAAAGTGGCTGAATCCACATGGCCAACTACATGGTTTACATCCCAGAACCAGAGGCTTCAATAAATATGCTGGGTGTGTATGCATGTGTGCCCAAAATCCTAAAAGGAGAAAGAAATGGAGAAGGGACTGTGGTGTAACCATGCCCCCAAGAGACGGGAGTGCTTTCTCACTTTCCTTCTCTCTGTCGTTTTCCCCTGAGCATACAGGCTCTCTGGAAATTTTTTAATAAAAGAATGATATGACTTTGGGCTGTTAAGGAATTAAAAAAAAATCAAACATACATCAGGGAAAATATTTGATATAGGCTATAAAGTAGCACATGCATAAAAACAAAGTAACCCTTAAAAATACTACTCCCATCCCTCCACAAAATTCCCTGACTGTATAGAGATGGTGGACGAGGCCTAAAGACATATTTAACCTAGCTTGCTGACTAAAATAGGGGTTTGGTTTGTCCCAGGCATTAAGAACCTCTACAAAGAGGCACTCAGTACCCCGAGATATCAAGGGGAGTAGAGGGCTGGGCACTAAGGAGAGGAAAAGAAAACCATTCCCTATTTGTCCCCCATCAAGTTCAGGTCATAAATAAACCAATTATAAAAATTTCAGGCCTTTCTTTTTCCCTTAGTCACTATTTTTTTCTGATTGTGTTTATTACTTGATGAGCTTACTTAAGTACACTGTAGTGATACTAAAGTCATGAGTATGTGTCTAATCATCATTTAGGAGAATCAGGTTACTCTGTTTCATGGCCACCTGTGGCTTCCCCATTTGGTTAAAGAACTCTAAAACATGTTCCTTTCATCATTTAAGACCTAGGTGAGAATTAGTGCACCAACTGGAAATTTTAGAACTTGTAACACATACTCTGCTATCAGTTAATGAATAACATCTTCTGAGTGTCATAAAGACAACAGAAATATGTCCTGAACAAAGATATCACTGAATAATCTGAACTGATTCACAGAATAAGGAAACATCAATTTCTATGTAATTTCTGGGATTACTAGTAAACATTTCTGAACTATAGACAGATTTAGTAGCCAACCCATAATAGCACAAAAATTATACATACCTTAAAACTTCTGCTGGCATTATAATCTGAAGTAATGACACTTTCTTTGCTTTCAGATAAAATTTTCTCAATTAAAATTCTGCTTGTTTGAACACTCTATGATTAAAAAAAAAGATAACAGTTTAATTTTATTATAGAACACTTTTCAAAAGATGTGGTCGCCAGGCCCAGCAGATGGCATAATAATTATGTTGCTGGACTCCTACATAGTTGACTGCAGTTCAAGTCCTATACCTGGTAGCTTAAAACTCACATTGGACACATGTGCATGTATGCCCAAAATCCCAGGAGAGGAGAATGGAGAAGAAGGGATTACAGCATGGCCATCTCCCCAGAGGGTGATTTCTCACTTGCTATCTCTCCACCTCTCTCTTTCTGTCTCTCAAACAAGCACATGTACCCTACAGCAAAAATCTCCCTCTTAAACAAAACAAAACAAAACAAAACAAAACACCCAATATGTTGTTGTGGTTAAGGCTCTGGACTCTCAGAAGGTCAATCACAGTTTGAGTCCTGAACCAAATGGTCTGCTTTCTCACCTTCTCTCTCTCTCTCCCTCACCCCTCCATCCTACCCTCTCTGTCTGTCTCTGATGAGCACACATGCCCCCTAGCAAAATTTCAAAAACTAATATTTATGATAAATAAAATTAAATAAGTAATTCTTTAAGAGAAAAAATAAGATGTGGTCACTGTTACTTTATAGCACATTGTAACCAAAAGGGGAACCCTATGGAAGGGACTGAATTCTAGAAAGCACTTACCAGAGACGTATGGAAGGCAATCTACAGCCTTAGTATTTGCTTTTAGTATTGGCCTTTAGCCAAAAAGATATTTCTATATTATTTCTGGCATCCTTAATCTTAGTAATGACTAATTACTAAGATTACTACAATGAGTAATAAGTAGTCTCCCAAGAAAGAGCCCAGGTCCTGATGACTTCCTTGCTAAATTCTACAAATCCTTTTTTTCTTTCTTTTCTTTTTTTTTTTTTTAATTATCAGAAGGCAAATGTGCTCATCAAAGACTGAGAGACAGAGAGCCACAGAGGAGAAAAGAACCCCCAACACACACCCAGGAGACATGGTCATGCCATAATTCCTCTTCCTCCATTCCTCCATCCTCTTGGGATTTGGACCATGCACACATATGTGCCCAACACATTTAAATTGGGACCAGGCTTTGAACTACAGTTGGCCATGTGGGATCTAGGATCCTTAACCAGTAGACTACAGGGCCAGCCCCTCTTCAGATCTTTTTTATAAAGCAGTAACATCAATTCTCCTCAAGCTATTCCAAAAGATGCAAATAGAGGGAACACTTCCAAATTCATTCCAAGAAGTGTGGTGATTAAGGCACTGTCTGGATCCCACATGGCCAACTCCACTGAGTCCCAGACCCAGTGGCTTAAAAAATGTCCAGACACATGTGCATATGTGCAAAATTCCAAAAAAGAGAATGGAGAAAAAGGGATTACAGCATAGTCATCATCCCTGAGGGGTGATTTCTCACTTTCCCTCTCTCTCTGTTTCTCTTTGGCAAGCACACATACTCTATGATAAAAATCTGAAAAAAGAAAGAAAGAAAGAAACTACCATCATATTGATACAAAAAGCAGACTAAGACACAATAACAAAGAAAATTACAGTCCAATATCCCTGATAAATAGACACAAAAATTTTGAACAAAGTACTAGCAAACCAAAATCAACAACACATTAGAAAAATTATGCACCATGATCAAGTAGGAGTTATCCCAGGAATGCAAGAGTGATTCAACATATGCAAAGTAATAAATGTAATACATCACATTAGCAGAAGGAAAAACAAAAATATGATCATATCAATTGATGAAGGAAAAGCATTTGATAAAGTACAACATCCTTTCATGATTAAGACTCTCAACAAAATATGTATAGAAGATACACTTCTTTTTTAAAAGTATTTTAATTTTATTTATTCTTTTTTTTTATTTTAATTTGATGAGAAAGATACAGAGAGAGGGAAAGTGAGAAAGCAAGCTACCAGGTCTGAGACTTGAGCAATGGTTGGCCATGTGGGAATATCTAGTACTTTAACCACCACGTCACCTGCTAGCCCCATAGAAATTACACTTCTTTTCTTTTTTTAAAGAATTATTTCATTTTATTTTGTTTATTTTTATTTGACCAGAGAAGGACAAAGCGAGAGAGAGAGAAAGAGAGCAGATACGAAAGCAAGCTGCTAGGTCCAGGACTCGAACTGCAGTTGGCCATGACAGAGTACAACACCCCTAATCACCATGCCACCTGCTGGCCCCCAAAGGTACACTTCTTAACACAAGAGAGGCCATATGTGACAAACCCATGTCAACATGATACTCAATAAAGAAAAGTTGAAAGATTTTTCTCTCAAAACTGAAACAAGACAAAAATGTCCACTTTCTCTATTCCTATTCAACATACTGAAAGTCCTAGCCAATGTGATCAGCTAGAGAATGAAACTAAAGACATCCAAATTGGAAGGAAGAAGTGGTATTGTCCCTATTTGCAGATAACATGATTATACACATAGGAAAATATAAAGAAGGAAAAAAAAAAGAAAAACCTAAAGAATCCACCAAAAACCTCTTAGAGGTAATAAATCAATTAAGCAGTCACAGGACACAAAATCAACATAGAAAAATCTGTAGCACTTTTTGTATACTAACAATAAACAAACTGGAACAAAATAAAGAAATCAATTGCATTTACAATAAACAAAAAAATCCAAGAATAAATCTAATAAATTTGCATAGTATCAAACCTCTTATAATATTAAATTAATTTAAAATGCACCCTTAAAAGCAAATGAAAATCTTCTGAACAACCCAAGTGGGTTGTTGAATCATCAGACAAATAAAACATCCTTTCAGAAAGAAAACAGAATAGTCTTTTTGATGAGGTAACAAAATATGACCCTATATAACATTTTTTAAGAATTATTTTATTTAACTTTTTTATTTATCCATTTATTTATCCATTTTTAAAAATTTTTACCAGAGAGGGAGTGAGAAGGGAAGAGAAAGAGAAAGAAAGAAAGAAAGTGAGGAAGCAAGTCACCAGATCTGAGACTCAAACCGCATTCAGTCATGTGGGACTCCAGCACCCTTAACCACCATGCCACCTGCCAGCCCCCAAATATAACATTTTAAAGAAACATATATAAAAATATCATTATATATTAAGAAACATATAAAATTTTAATTTTATAAGGACCAGGTATACATGTATATATATATACATACAATGATATATATATACATGTATATATATATACATACAATGATATATATAATAACTGTTTACACTAGGTCTTTGGAAAAGTCAGGACTTTTTTTATGTTTTCTATGCAAAACTGTGTCATGGCTTTCCAGATAACCCAACATATATATAGATAAATAATCTCTACAGTGTTATCCAATCAGTACTGATTATGGCAATAGTTATGGGAAATGTTACAAAGCAACTGTCTAGTAAATTTTAACATCATAATCAATTGTACAATTCGACTAGTGAAAAACAACAAGGATCATCAAGAAAACTCAATTCAGTATGTTACCTCATATTTTGAATATAGAGTTTCCCTCATGACAGATTCTGGAACAGCGAACTTGGGTGCAGCTGGATTCCAGAACAACTTTGTGAAGCCCGGATAAGCAGACAGCTTTGAAAATAACGTAAAAGTTTATTAGAAGCAGTAACAAATGGCATTCCATAAATATACTACCAAAAACTTGGAAAAATATAAGTTTTTGTCAAAATTGTTTCTAGTAGTAGCGGAGAAAGCAATGTTTCCACAGCCTTTGAAAGTCTGGCAAAGACAATTTCTCATTCATCAGATTAGCAAAAATGTAAGGTCAGCAATACCAACATATGCTAAGGATGGGAGAAATTAGAACCATGATGAAGGCAAATTGGCCATTTCTAGTAAAATAGAAAATGTACATACGACATGCTTCAGCAATTTCATATATATTCAACATATTTATATCATCTCCATATTTATATATTTATAAATTGATGTTTTCTATATAAATATTCATAATTTATATATTTTTATATATGTAGTATATATATATATTTCTAGGTGAAAATATGCAAGGAGGCTGCAGAATATTCATAAAGCACATGAAATGGCAAAAACCAAAGCCCAATCTAAGTAGCTATTAGTAGAGAAACAGATTAATAAAATATGGTATATTCATATCATTAAACAATACACAGCCATTAAAATTCAAAAAGTATGATCACAAATGGATTTTATCATTGAATTAAAAACAAAATAAGAAAGTTTTAGAAAGATGAACATGAAATTGTGTCATTTATGTAAGTGTACTACAGCACACAAATTACATTATTTACTGTTTAGGGTCAAAATGCATCTAGTTCATTCATGGAATGCAAATACCACAATTGTAACAATCACTTCTCTTGAGCAGGGAGGAAGATAAATGGAATTACTTATAGCAAGAAGTACAAGAAGATGTAATTTAATGATTTTTTAAATTTATTTTATTTTACAAAATCTGAAACAAGTAAACAAAATGTTGACATTTTAAAATTCTTGATAACATGTCTCCAGGTGTTTTCTAACTTGGTTTCTGTATTTCTATATATCTTTAAAGTTTTTCCAAATAAAATTAATCAGGCCTAGGGGATTTTTTATGGAAGTGAAATATTCTATCATTATAAGTCAAAACCCATTGAACTTTACAGCACAAAAAGTGAATTTTAATGTAATGCAAATTTTAAAAAATCATTTAGGAGGTCAAAAGAAATCCCAGGATGGAATGCAGAATGTAACAAAACAATCTAACTGTATTATAAATGTATGCAACAATCTCACCTAAGGGTGAAGGGAAAAGTTGCTGAATTTAGTAATGGAAATCAGTGGAATATATAATACTGAAGGCAAAAGGAACTATACATATAGCCTGTATTTCAGCTGATAAAACTGTACCCCACAGGAATATAGATTTAACATTCTGATAGTTCTCCATATGTACACTAAAACTAAAAAACTAAGTAAATTGATAGAGGATGGTGGGAGCCAGGTTTATCACTATTGAAGTGGGAATTTAAAGATTAGCACAGAAGGAAGCTACAGTGATTCATGTAATAGATTAGAGCTGAAGACATCAGAATGAACTCAGCTTAACACAGACGCAGATGTTTACATACAAAAACACTTACAGATAATGTGTATTTACACAAGCTAGTACACATAGACTTCTAGCTTTGTCAACTGAGGCCTAGGAGCAACAATGCCTCAGCAGCAGCAAGCATACCTACTGACAAGATCTTGGTTTGGAATTACATTCTCAAATAAAGGGAATTTGGGCCCCCCTTAGAACTATGACCAATTCTGGGGCCAGAAGGTGGCGTGGTGGTTAAGGCACTGGACAACCTCAAGGTTTGAGTCCTGGACCTGGCAGCTTGAAAATCACACCAGGGGGACCAGCAGGTGGCATGGTGGTTAAGGCACTGGACATTCCCATATGGCTGACCACGGTTCAAGTCCTGGACCTGGTGGCTTACTTTCTCACTCCCTCTCTCTCTCTCTCTCTCTCTCTCTCTCTCTGTCTCTCTTTGGTCAAATTAAAAAATAATAATAAATGGATGAGTAAATTTAAAAAGTAAATAAATAATTTTTTTTTTAAAAAAAAAGAAAGAAAATCACACCAGGTGCCTGTACGTATGTGCCCAAAATCCTCAGAGGAAAATGAAGCATAAGAGACTGTAGCGTGGCTATCCCCCAGGGAGGTGATTTCTCACTTTCCCTCATGCTGTCTCTGTCTCTCTCCAGCACATGCACATGCCTTATGGCAATAACCTAAAATAAAAAAAGTAGATTCTAAGACTGGGGGAGAAAATATGCAATATGATCCTGAAACACTCTACACTGCCAAAAATTAAGTGCTAAAAAAAAAAAAATCCCACAATGATAGGGCATGTCAAAAGGGACATAGGAGCTAAATGAAGGAGTTCCCAATTAGAGCAGTAATAATAATACTGAAGTAGTACTGTATAACAACTCAAAGTATAACATAAACATCCATGAGTCATACCGATATAAATAAAATGACTGAATAAATAAGTAACTCGATAAATAGTGGGTTAAATAGTGGCTTCCAAGAGATACATGGAGAGAATAGACAACTTCCCCTACATAAGAATTTTAATTTTTGTAGATATCCTTCCCTTAAGGAGATGCAGCGCAGCACCCCACTGCTTAAGTGTGGCTGTGCACAGCGACTCCCTTCTAAAGCATATGATATGAAAATAGGGGAGAGAGACAGGGAGAAAGTTTACAAGGAAGAAACCTGGTAAATGCTACCTATTCAGACGATCAATGTCAGCATCCTCAAGGATAAATCATATTGATCGTATGTACCCTTTGAAAAGTGATGAAATCGCAATTTACCTCAGGAGTCTTCCACCCAAAATCACAGAACCCAATCAAATCAGAAAAACATCAGGCAAATCTCAATTGAGAGACCTCGTAAAAAGTACCTGACCAATATTTGAAATTGTCAATGTCATCAAAAACAATAAAAGTCAGGGCAAGCAGGTGAAGTGGTGGCTGGGGTCCTGGGCTTCCACATGGCTGACCACGATTTGAGTCCCAGACCTCACAACTTGTTTTCTCACTTTCACTCTCTCTCTCTGTCTCTCTCTAGTGTGCCCTATAGCAGATTAAAAAATAATAATAAATAAAATAGTCTGAGAAACAATTACAGCCTAGAGGAGCCCAAGGAGACATGACAACTAAATGTAATATGACATCCTAGCCAAGATTCTGAAACAGAAATAGAACAGTATGTAAAAACCAAGGAAATTTGATTGGTTTGGACCTTAGTTAATAATATATTAGTTTATTGCTCTTAATGAATATATAATACTATTGCAGGATTTAAGTTCCCCATGGCTACTATAACAAATTATCAGCACATTGTTTAAAACAACTGAATATTCTCTTAGTTCTGGAACCAAGGTATAAGTAGGGTCATACTCCCTTTGAGCACTAGGGAAAAACTCTTCTTGCCTCTTCCTAGCATCCAGTTGCCAGAAGTCCTTGGTATCCCTTGGCTTGCGGCTACATCATTCCAATTTCTCCTTCCATCATCACAGGGCCTCTGTGTGTTTCTACTTAGCATTCTCCTTCTATTATATAAGCATACCAATCATAATAGATTTAAGGGCCACTCAGTACCCAGGATGATCTCAACACAAGATCCTTAATTTAATTTTAACTGCAAAGATATTTGGTTTAAATGAGATCAAAACTTACAATGGGTTAGGGCTTGAACATATATCTCTTGGAGACCACTATTCAACCTGCTATTACTATGTTCATTGGGGAAACAGTGTGTGGGGCAGATGAGAAACCTCTATACTATCTTTGAAAATTTTCTGAAAGTCTAGAAGTATTCCAAAAAATAAAGTTTATTTTCAGTAAAATAATGAAACAAAGAATAAAAGAAAAAATAATTTTTAAAAAATAGTTGAAAGCAAAAAATTAATCAGGCATGTGTGACAAACATCTTAATTAAAAATATGATAAGATTTTAAAGTAATAGCACTTTGAATCCATGGTATTACTGGTAATTATTATTTTATTAATATTTTCATTGACTTTTGACAATATTTCATTATACCATGCTTTTTTTTTTTCAAAAAAAATTGTCTATCATCAGAAAGAAAGAGTTAGAATTATTTTAAAGTTTATTATTTTATTTCTGCCATGAGACAGAGACATGGAGAGACAGAGACATCTGGGTCTTTATGCCATAATCCACCCCTAGTTTCAGCCAACTAAGATCATGGGCATGCACACTGCACCTGGAAGTCTCAGAGAGGTCCCAGGACACAAAAATCAGGACCTTCCCATGTGGGTCTGATTGCATTACCACTTTGCCACCACCTAGCACCTCAAATGCTTTGAAACCATCAACTTGCAAACATTATTCTAGCATTAATCATGAATGCTTAATAGTGACATCTCCTGGCCTGTGGATGTTACACAGACTTTTCTAGAGTAATATATGAAGATCCAGACCCAGTAAATAAAGACAGTTACAAAGTGATGCTGAATTTTGAGCATTTCTTGTCAGAGATCTATCTCATCTATTCCATATACTCGACTACATGTTTTCTATACACAAGTAGAGTATTTAGAAAAAGGCAGATTTGGGGGGCCAGCAGGTGATATGGTGGTTAAGGCACAAGACACTCCCACATGGCTGACTCCTGTTCGAGTTCTGGACCTAGTGGCTTGCTTTCTCACTTGCCCTCTCTCTCCGTGTGTGTGTGTGTGTGTGTGTGTGTGTGTGTGTCTGATCAAATTAAAATAATAAATGAATAAATAAAATCAAATAGTTCTTTTTAAAAAGAAAAGAAAAAGGCAGATTTTGCAGTTCCAGGTAATTTGTTCAACACAGAATGTCAAAATTAAATGTTTGGTCTCATTTTCCTGTTTTGCTGTGCATGCTACATCACTTAACACTCTACAGACCTAGAACCACGAACTTCTTGTTAAAAGATGAATAAACTCTTCTACAAGCAACTAACAACCTTTCTTCCAAAGCTCACCTAGTGTAGTAGGGGGAACTCCAGGACCAAGGAAGATAATGGACATGCTTAGAACTTAAAAATGCACATACA